TATTAAAGAAATTAATGTAACACTGCCGAAACCGAATTGTAAATAAATTAAATTTTCGATAGATACAGCCTTGGAGTTTCTATAGACGAATTTCAAAATGTCAATTTAACGGCTCGGTAGTTTTAGCGTTAAATTCCACCGTATTTTAAAATCAGGTAATTTCAATCATTTGATTCTGTTCACGTTCCATTTAAAATACACGATTGTACAGAAAATAATATTGTGATCAATAAAGGAATAATATCAGAATATTTCTTTTCAATTTAACCGTCTAGACCATTCTGCGCCGAGGTGAAACCTCGTTCGATCATCGGCCTGCGTCTGTCGAGATCTTTAACCCTTTGCGATCCTATATTGAGTCGACAATGAATTTTACTGCGACGCTTAACCTCTTCGGACCTGATTTTCATACGAAATTATGTACAATAATAACGCTAACGTCTTGTACACAAGAAGATTTGTGTACATTTTCAATGATTACATAAATAATGATTGCTTGTAAAGTGTACAAATTTCTTCAAATCTATAACATTTGTTAATTAACATTAGATTCAGGATTATTTATTGTACACTTTATTGCACTGTTCAAAATGACGTGCACTTACATAATAACGAAAGATTGCTATTCAATGCATCGCGAGTAATGACATATACATATAGCGAATAAAAAATGATAGTATACTTCGTTGCCTGTCATAGTTTTAATATTTTATCAGATGATCAAAACAGAAAACAGTGTACATTGTAGTGTGCATTAAGCTTCAAAGGATTAAACGCTTTATCATTTTCTATTACGGTACTTATCCATTTTATCAATTTATACTGTTATTATTCATGGTAATTTGATGTTTGTAATATGCATGTGTAAAATTATGCATGCATAATGAGTATGCATGTGTGTGTATCGTGAACAAATATAAATATATATTTATTACAAATATAAATATTCTAGAAACATTTGACACGCGTGTAAAATAAAATAATATTTTAGAAAATTCTAGTTGTAGAAATAATTTGAAAAAAAATCGTGTCGTTAAGTATAGTTTATTCTAATCTTTCTCCTACAATAATTGTACAATATACTGGGTGAGTCTCGTAATACAAGGTCAAATAATAATATAAGGTTCAAATAACTCGAAAATTATTTTTCGAGTATATTCCCGCGACAGGAAAAAATGTTTTATACAAAAGCTGCTTAGTTTCCAGGGGATAAAAGAGCAAACAGCGGATTATAATACTGTATATCCTCTGGAAACCAAGCAGCTTTTGTATAAAACATTTTTCGCGCCATAAATAATTTTCGAGCTATTTGAAAACCTTATACTCCATTTAAAAGACAGAAATTGATCTTGAGATCTCGATAAAAAAACAAAACAGAGTGAAACCAATTATAATACTGTATATTTTTTATCGAGACTTGAAGGTCAAGTTCAGTCTACTCAATGGAGTGCGTAATATTTCTAGATTTGAGTAGAGCATCAAATTTTACGTAGAAAATGATCATGCGAAACAAGGTCTAAAATGAATACTTACTTATTAATGAATATTAACAATTACAATATTTATAATTCATTAATTATTATTATACAAAGTAAGGTTCAAGATTAATACTCACTTATTAATGGATATTAATAATAATATTTATAATTCATGAATGATTAATCAATGGGAAGATTCATTAATCACCCACTTTTCCCTCAGCAACGCAATGTCTTATTTCTTTATTTCTTTTGTTATTTAATAAATCTTGAACTAGCGTTATTTGGCATTTATCGAAATTTGCTTTATATAAAACTTTAAACTTTATATATTGCTTTATATAAAACACATTTTTTAATCAAATCAGTGAAATGAGTTCAATGAATTTAATAAGAAAGATTATAGTTATAGTTTTTGAGCCGGTTATCCAAGTGTTAACATTAGAAAACTACCAAACAGGTCAAAATGATCCATAACCAGCTTCTTCTTTTTGTAGTTATTAAAAAGATAACATACTCTGAAAAATTACCAATGAAATTGGTTCAGCAACACACAAATATCGAATAAAATTAATAGTACATTAATAGAAAGGTTAACAGATGCACTGTTAGAGATTTTGTAGGAAAGTTTCAAAGAGTCAGGTTGACTGCTCAATAGTTTCAGCGTTGAAGTAGATATATAATTTCAACTGGTGTTCCTACAGTATCCATTACAGTCAATATACATATGTAATCAGGTTATCAGCAAACGATGAACATGTTCAAGCGTCTCAGTCATCCGCCTATTACTAAACGTGACGTCCATTACTAAGCATGGTAATAAAATAACCACTTTCCATAATACCAGTTTTACATTCACTGAACTTCAAGAACACAAATGAGATACTAACTTGTCTTACATTGATAATACGTGACATCTTAAAAACGCTGTATCCATAAATACGATCTGTCGTTGTAAATGAAGTTGTATTACAGATACGTTGAATGAATATATTTCCTAATGTCACACGATTAATTTAAAGATATCTCAAAAAAAAGATATTGAACTTGGAAATTCCAAAAATTATGAAACTTTGGGTGTAAGTATGTCTAAGACATTGCAATTTTTGTTTTGCGCAGAATTCCATCTTGGAGGGGTGAAATCATCCCTTGAAAAAAATGCAAATTTTTCTTTCTCCTGGATTATCTTGAAAATGATAAGAGATTGCGAAATAAAGTTCCAACGAAAAATATATTGATCTTTTACATCTGTAAAATTGCAAAATAATATTTTCAAATCAATAATTTTCAAAATCAAAATTTTGAAAAATTTTATTACGCAATTTTATGTACGTAAAAGAACAATGTATTTTTCGGTGAAACCTTTGTCGCAATTTCTTACCATTCTCAAGATAATCCAGAGAAAAGAAAAAATTGCATTTTTTTTCAAGGGGTGGTTTTAACCCTTCACAGTGAAATTCGATATGGGAAAAAATTGCAATGTATTAGAATTGATTTACTCTGCTTACATACAGTTTCATAATTTTTTGAATTTTCGGGTTTGATACCTTTCCTTGTTAGTGATATAAATAATATTATTTTACAATGTAGAGGATACATTTTCTGTTTGCAATAACTGAATGAACAAATTTTGAAGCAATTTGTGACATCTATTGAAACATTGCCAAACATATATATTTGAAAAGCGTCGACCGGTGCCAATAATAGAGAACATATTAACACATTGCATACCGGCTAATTTTCAGAAAACTGAATTGTGCGGATGGCAATTTTCATGAGGTCAATTTATATCACTATACATAGAAAAACTCAGATATCATATCGTTATGTAATATATTTTAAATAGATAATCAATTCGAATGAAATTTTATATTTTTTTCAATGCTGTGGTAATTAATGAAGTTGTATAGCTAAGTGTCTTTATATAAAAAGGAGATTTCTAGTTACCGGTACGCAATGTGTTAAAATGATTTTCCGTGAATTAAAAATCTCTTTAATTGTAAAGATCTAGATCATTTCGTTTTCGTATGAAAAACAAAGAGTAAACCTATTTAATTCTTAATTATTTCTATTAATTGGTTAAAAATAATTCATTAGGGAATGATGATGAATCAATTAAATTCATAATCCTTCACCAAAACAATTTAACCAATTAACCAGTGGTTTTATTTAAAAACCAGTGGGTTGTCTTTATAAATTTCTTTCAAAATGTATAATAAAAAGAAAATTAAGCAAAATCAGATATAATCTATCAGAGAAAACTGTAGATTCCTTATGTCTTTTACAAAATTACTTCAAAAACAAAAATTACAATTTTTTTAAATTCCTTTTCTTTGTTTTTAAAGTTGTTATTGCTAAATTGTAGAAAGGGAATTTTATCTTTTCGACTTGTGCAAGAAATAAATTTTATCCTTACAAAAGTGCATAAATTTTTATAAACTCGATTGCTTCCAAAATACATAAAATAAATAAATATTGCAAAATATTTTATATTTTTAATTATTTTTTAGTAATAATGAAAATACTCGACAAAAACAGAGTAAGTGTACTTGGCAAAAAATTAAAATAAATTATAACCAAATGACGAATATTCCTATCATATTATTTTACAAGATTTAAATTTCCATTGTATGAAGATTCATTATTATTCATGGAATAAGAATGTACAGGTTATTAATTCACAAAGGAACAATATGTAAAAGAGAAATGTTTGGAATGAAACATGTAATTTGTTTATAGTGCAGAGTCATATTCAGCGTCTGTAAAAGTTACCGACTGGAATAATTAAAGCTGACATTCCCTATTTAAATTTTATCTAATTATTTCTCGAGTATCGCGTTTTGGTTATTAATATTCAGTTCATTATCATGCTACACGTGTTAAAGTTATGAATATCTTAAATTTTACTTTGAATAGCAACAGAATTTCTTTTCTTCATAACCAGTATACTCGTCATTAATCAAAAACTTGCCATTTTTCTATGACGAATATACTCGTCATTAACCAAAAACTTACGAGCCCTTCAAAACGAGTATACTCGTCATTAACCAAAAACTTACCAGCCCTTCAAAACGAGTATACTCGTCATTAACCAAAAACTTACCAGCCCTTCAAAACGAGTATACTCGTTATTAAAAAAAAACTTGTCATCTTTTCTTGACAAATATACTCGTCATTAAGCAAAAACTTACCAGCTTTTCAAGACGAGTATACTCGTCATTAAATAAAAACTTGCCAACTTCTCGAGACTAGTATATTCATCATTAAACAAAACCTTGGTATCTTTCTACGACGAGTATATTCGTCACTAAACAAATACTGGCCATTTTTCCACGCCGGTATATTCGTCATTGAACAAAATCATATCTTTTCAAGACGAGTACATTCGCCATTAACCACAACCGTTCCACGTGTTCATGACGAGTGTACTCGACATAAACATCGGAAGGTTTTAATCAGTTAAAGATATTACTAATTTTATCCTTTAATAGCAATGGATAACGGACAAGAATGTAGACTCACCGGCGTAGGGACCTCCGCACGAAGTCGACGCATCCTTCGCGCCCTTGCCGTCCTTGTTGCTTCCGTTTCCTGGAACAACCAAACAGAAATATTCTCTCGCGATCGTTCCTATGATCGTGCTTCAACGAATAAACCAACAAAGCTGACCAACAAGTTGTCCTACGCTCGAGCAAAAGTAACGAACACGATATAACCGCGAAACGATAATGAAAGCCGTGTATGCAGGGTGTTTTGTAACACATGGAACAATCAAAACGACGAAAAATAATGAGACAAGTTCATAGAAATATGTGGGGGATGTTCGCGTTATTTTTGTCCACCGTTTTTCTTGGAAATGGTACAGATGAGAAAAAAGTGGCCGAGGATGCAGTTGTACTGTTTGTTGCGACCAACACAGTAGTGATAATAATTTTTTATGTTTATAGTATTTTTCAGGAAACCAAGGTGGTTTTACATTTTTTTCATAGAATACTGTATTTTTTTGTTTCTTTACATGAAATCTTATATATAATTTTTATTATTTATATGAAATTATATGAAAGTTTATATGAAAGTTTATTTATTGTTAATATGAATGAAAATATAAAATATTGTAATCATAAACATTGTTGTTTACCATTTTCTTCTCATATTTATTATTTCCAAAAAAGACGGCGGATAAAAATAACGTAAACACCTTGAACAAAAGAAATTTGAGTACATTTTCAATAATGAAATGAATAATAATTATTTATAAATTGAAGTCCCTTCAAATCTATAATATTCGTTATTGACACTATATTTACGGTCATTTATTGTACACTTTATTCCCCTGTCCCTAGAGTATGAAATATTAAATAATTAATTCTAATTGCTCGATAATTCTAGTATTAACTCCTTGTCCTATTGTATCGCCAAACACCTGACGAGAATTTTAAACTGAATTCGAAAATTTTGAATATTATTTATTATTTTTGAATATAAGTGAAATATTACTTTTCTATTATCAATTGTTATCACGTTGACTGCCACGACAGTCACCAATAGTCGTTCCAAATGACTGTAAAACAATTATAATTTAGGGTAATTTCGATTAAGATGGCCCAATTTCATTAAAATTGTCAAAGATTTTTTATTGTTTTTAGTGCCATACTGACTCTTGTACAGAGATCTATTTAACTATTCTTCTTACATAGGTATACTTATTGTCATAAATATATTTTATTTCTTGTTAGGCATCAATAATATTTATGATGTATTAGTTCTTTTCTAAAAAGTGGACCATCTCTCCTTGACTTACTCTATCAGATAACCAATATCAAATGAAAACGATTGACACGTTGACTGCCACGGTGGTCACCAATGACCGAAGCTTACAAATTACTTGATCGCAACTACAATAAGAAAATCGATGTCGAATAAAAATATTTAGTAACATAAGCAGCTAGATAGTAGTGTAATATGAGTACACTGATACTAAATCATTAATAATTAGTTCCAATACCATTTGCCTTTATCATGGAAGAATAAGTATTACTATGCAAAATGTTCGAAATTCTCGTGGCAGTCAATGTTTTAATAATAAATGACAAGTAATACATAAAGCATTTGTAATTTTTCGTGGCGATCAATTTGTTAACCTTTAAAGCA